GAGAACGTGACAGCACAGTGATGGAAGTAGACGATGATAGTGACGATGATGACTCCGAGGAGAGACCACAGAAGCCAACAAGAGCACAAATAACCGAGGCTATAAACACGCTTTCGTCCTATAGTCTGTTTGCTGCAGATGGAGCTGACGAGATTCGTCGAAACATGAGTCAGATCGCATACATCATCGAGAAAAACATTCGCAAATCTCAGAGGCAGCTTGCAATTGACAGCTTTTTAGGCTAAGCACCTTTTATTTTGGTCACTGTTCTGCTTTTTGTTTGTTCTTGTGAAATTAAAAAAAAAACTGTTTTGTTGATGAAAACATTTGAAATACATTCAGGGATTACAAACTGTTCACTAATATCGCGAAAATAGAGTAAATAAAGTTATGCAAGGGTAAAAATTGCGTATTTATCTTTCACCCCTATAACTCGAACCCCCGATAATTCGAACTATTTTGCTTTTCGCTTGAGACTTCGAATTATCGGGGTCCAACTGCAATTGATAGGTGCAGGAGACGGGACCTCCGGCTCTACGTCCTATCCGAGAAGACGATGAAATGTGAGTGAAGCGTCTTGCTTAAGGACTCAACGTCAAGCCCTAGCAGGACTTGAACCCGGCCTATCTGACCCAGAGTCCAGCGTACTGACAACTGGACTACTCACGCCAAAGATGATCTTGTGGATGTTTTCCGAATAACTTCTTCAACATTTTTTTTTGCATTAAATCGTTTCATTACCTTATAAGCTTATAAAGCATTACCCATGCAGGTTTTTGTACAGTTACCATAATCGACATCTGGCTTGTTTAAGAGCTGTTCTGTTGATATATTTTACAAAAAAATCCTTCTGCTGAAATACACGAACAGCGGATTGTATACTTGTACTTGTCACCACGGATTTACTTGAAATGGACGCAATCTCCTTCCTTTTTTAAACCCCTCATATTGGAAAGAAAGTACTATAATCTTTACAAGACTTGTTTTACCACATGCCTTACAGAAAATAGCGATGGTTGTCGGCCTGAAGACAATGTTGAGAATGGCACATATGTATTTTATAAAAACATCCCGTGCTAAAACATTTTAATGACACAAATGTATTAGTGGTGAAAAATCTCAACTGGTGGAAGGCAGACTAGATAATTACTAGTGGCGAGGAACCACGGATATGAAGTCGACGGAACCGTAAAAAAAATCTGGTGATTGGTAGTGTGATGTGCATGCATCTAGAGCTCAAATTTGGTTATGATTTTATAGATATTGACGAGTGTAAAGGAAATCATTCTTGTCACGTGAATGCTAGCTGCCAAAACACCATTGGATCATATGTATGTGAATGTCGCCCTGGATATTCTGGAAATGGACAAAAATGTACAGGTGAATTTAATATCTTTGTTATATAAGCGCCGCACCATTCAGCTGCGTCACAAGAGTTATATCATTTAACACTTATGACTCGTTTTCGTTTAAGTAGCCGTTATTCATGTTAAGGACCTCTTACGTTATGTTACTGACTTGTGAATGAAACATTTTAGTAACTGATGCATTGTTATTCTGCATTGAACCTTGGAGTTAAGCGAGTATACCAGGAGCAGAATCAGTTTATACAAAGTTTAGTTCACCTAAAACCTTCCTTTTTGCTTAAATGCTGTCTCCGTGTAACGTTTCCCTTCGACAACTTTCCAGTTTCTTCATTTGTTGACATCGCCAGCTTGGAGAGGTAGGGAGAAAGTGTCTCTTACGCGAGACATGCGCGCCACGCGGGTGTCAATGTGTTTACTTACAGTGGGGGGGAGGGGGAGGGACACCGCGGAAATAGGTTTTTTTAAGGCACGATACAATATTTTATTGGTCAGCGGACACCTCAACGAAACCATAAAATGCCGTTAACTTTTACAATGTTTTCGCCGTGAGTCAAATCGACAGCGTAAAAAGGCAAAACTTAGAAATGTTTTTGTTGTAGTTCTAGTTGCTTGGTTCCTAATAAATAACTGTAGTTTCTTATTCGTGGATTCGTCATTTAACACTTTTAGCCATCGCTATTGCCTCAGTACTGAAAGTAATTTTTGAAAGCGACTTGAGGATAATTTACTTTTTACGCTAAAATTGTCTTTTATAAATCACTGTTTCTTCCAGATATTGATGAATGCAGCAATGGAAGCCATGTTTGTGACGTGAATGCGAACTGCACCAACACTGAGGGCTCTCACAATTGCACCTGTAAGAAAGGGTATATTGGAAATGGAAAACTGTGTCAAGGTACATTAAACTAGTCTTAGAATAAGAAAATGAGTTCTTGTACTAAATTTCACAGTAGCTACTTGTCGCTAACAACTGAAAAAGCGGTCGCTTCCAATGTGTGTATTCATCACGTAACGACCTATCTCTTGACAATAGCTATTGCCTCAGTACTGAAACTAACGTATTAAAGATGATATAAGTAAATCAAACATGCCCAAAGTTTTAAGCATCCAAAGAGAAAAGATTTGTTTTGACTATACGAGTATTTATCCATGGTGAACCCACAACCAATCAAATGTCGATTGACAATTCGACTAAGGCATCGGTAAATTATTGGTAGGTTTTCGGCCTACTATAAGTCTACTACTGACCAATGCCGGATCAATCTGTTATCTACCGTGGCTACCCATAGTGCACATGGGTGTTACAATAGTTTCATGAAACGTCTGGATCATCGGCAACTCTTGAAACAAGTTTACCAACCGCACAATCGGTAAATTACATACACTAAAGTATTATTATGTACATAAACGATTGTACAGAATTATTTGTGTCCATTCATACAAAATGATCACAACTCGTTCCGAATTTAAAAGTTGTTATTTACTTACAATATCTTTCATTGAGTTTGCATAAGCGTGAACCTCCTTAATACTTTGACCAAACAAAAAATGTTTGCTTTAG